TATAGCTTGGAGTATGAGCAGTTACGCAAGTCTTTTAAAAATATTTATTAAAAAAAATATTTTCTTGTCACATTAAACTAAATTCCTAACATTCTAATATAAGGAAAATGTTGATCATTCAAAAAGCTTTATAAAATTATTTTAAAAGTAGATTATTTTTCAGTGTAATTTTTAATCACTCTAAGCATAATAAAACATCCCCAAAATATTAATGATCATGTTCTTGTTATATTCCAGGATGCTAAATCCTTTGCTGCCATCTTTTGGAAGTAGGTTACTAATGCATGCCATGGATTTCTTTTAACCTGGAAGACTTCCCAGATTAGGAAAATAAGGAAAACTTATATTCTCGCAGGAGTGAAATGCTAAAGCAAAATTAGATTTTCTCCATAGTGTTGAAAAATATGTTTTATTCACACTACCTACAGCTGGATTCTGGCCTCTCTTTCTTTGAAAATCCTGAAAGGGGTGATCTTTTACAAGGAAACTCTGACTGACCAATGCCTGGGCTTTCCTCAACACTGTGTCTTAATTCCTCAGAAACTCAAGCATTTTTTGTGCAAAAACAGTAATAGTTTGTCTTTTTCTATCCCCAAACCAGATTTGTCTTAAGGTGAAGGGGCACAAAGCAGGAAGGGACTGAGCAATTCCAAAAAGGTATATGAAAGAGGGAGCTACACTTGGAAGAAATGACATGTAAAACTATTTCCACAGTGTGGGCTAATAGATCAGGAAAGAAAGAACACACTAGCTCAACTTCCCAAGTAAGAATAATGTCATTGTGTGTATGAAAAAATTAATAAAATTAAAGATTTCTTAAAACTTCAGTAGAATCATAAAGTCAATATAACAAACCAGTCTTGTCCGACATTTCACAGAAGAAAATAACTACCTGATTATCAAGTTGAATAATATTTTTTCAAAACTACCTGAGTCTCAAAATGGTACATTAGACATACTGGTATAATAGACTAACAGTGGCTGGTTTCCTTCATTCATCGGAAGCTGATAAACACTTTTAATCAGTGTAGTTGTTTATCACTGGATTCCTCAAGATTCCGACACTTCCCTTCTAGAAGTTCTCACCCCGGAAGTTGGCACTGGTATTGAGAAATGCACTTGTATCTTGGTTGTTTACTCTCATTCTCTTCCAGCATTAGCATTCAGTGTTTAATGTATATATAGTCCTTATCATTTGACATCAATGAAGATTTGCTTTTTTGTAGTGCACTTCTCAAAATGTTAGACATGTGCTTTATTTATTCACCCAGGACTGGCTGTGAGTACAACATCCTTCATCTCTAACTTGTGCTGCCAGTCACAGGACAATAAATAATTTGCTTGCTGAGGGGAGGGCAGGGAACTTTTGAAGAAGAGTCATTGCTCAGCTGCTTTATGATTGGAAATAGATCTTCTCATTCCCCTTGTGACCTGAAAGGCAACACACTATCACTGTGTTCAAATTCTTATATCTGCAATGAGATAGACTTCAAATTCATAGACCATTTCCTCTGCTTAAAATATACTTCTGATCTCTCTTACTTCCTAAATTCATTAATCAACTCACACTTAGTTTCTCTGTGAAAACTTAGTAGTGCCTTCAGGAAGAATTCTTTGCTCTCTCTTGAGACCTTCTCTCTTTGTACTTCTACAGAGAAATTAGCACAATGTCTAATCACTGTGTGCTTACCCAACCTTCCAGCTGTCTCTGGTCTATAAGATCTCTAGGCAGAGACCTACTCCGGTTTACATTTGAACTCTCCAGATCTGACCTAGAATGTTATTGATATGGGTGTACTAAATGAATGAATGAATGAATGAGTGAAGGCAAGGTTGAGAAGTGAAAAGGGCATAAACTCAAAAAATACTTGCTAAGCAAATATGTCTGAGATCAAATATATACTTGAAAAAAGAAAAAGAAAATAAAGAGAAGATGTTACATAAGCTACTGAAATTGTGTGTGTTGTAGTATCTTGTTTTTTTTTTTTTTAATTGAGTATATGTGGCCTTTGGAAATGTTTCAAAAATTATTTTTCATTTAAAATGCTATTTGTTTATGCATGAGTTCATGCAACAATTATGCATTTATTGCAAATTATGAGTTAGCTAAAATCATAGTATTAATTCAGGTATTATATAATGTCATTTTTAACATATTATACTGAAGCTACCTGAAAATATTGATAAAGTACATAATATTCTACCGCTTAAGATAACAGTAGGAAAATACTGTGCTTTAGGTTTTGTGTAGAAATAGGGTTGAGGTCAGGTTAACTGCTTTTGTTTACTATAGCTTTGTAAGCCATAGTTGGATATTGTTTATTAATTATTTTGTACTAAGTTGAAATTAAAAATCCAGTGGGTTCTATGGAAAAGAGGATTTTAAAGGCTTTTTCATTAATATTTTGTGTGACTTTTATTTTCTTAAATCATATGTAAATGAAAACTACATATTGGGCAGGTGGATTAAAAATGAACAGTTTTTTTGAATGGATATAAATATCCAACACGAACGAATTAGGACTTCGCATATTAGGATGATGTAGATCCTGTCTTCTCACTGTGGGCTCAGGTACCACAATGGAATCATACTTGTTTATTTTTTTTTAAAGATTTTATTTATTTATTTATTTGACAGAGAGAGAAAGAGAGATCACAAGTAGGCAGAGATGCAGGAAGAGAGAGGGGGAAACAAGCTTCCTGCTGAGCAGAGAGCCTGATGCGGGGCTCCATCCCAGGACCCTGAGATCATGACCTGAGCAGAAGGCAGACACACACAGACACTGAGCCACCCAGGCGCCCCATCATACTTATTTATTAATAACTTATATGAATTAGAAAGTTAACAGTAACTGGTAGGAATGAGAAATCTTTATGTAATGACTCACTCAAAAATGTTTGAAAATTCCAAAATTAAGCAAATGTTGATCAAACTTCATTTTCCAAACAAGTGGAACATGAACCAAACACAATTTTGAAAAAGTTGAACTGTAAATGTTGCTAAAAGCATAATTTTTAACTAAATTTCATATTTTTGTGCACATTTAGTTTTTAATACATTTGTTTATTAAACCATATATCTCAATGGGATTTTTTTATAAATAATTGTTGAATGAGTGAAAAATTAATAAATTTTAGAGATATGGGAAAAATACCAGGTACAACTTTAATTACTGGTCAATATATTTATTTGGACAATTTAGCTTGGATTAAATATCTTTTAAATTAAAAATAGTAGAAATCCATGTTATTTTGAAGTCTTTAAAGAAGTGTTTGTCTTTTGTTTATTGGAAGGATTCCCTATGCTAATTAAGTGATCTTGATCTGGGTTCCTTTAGCAGCATGTGGTGCTCCAGTCTTAGACCATTTTGTTTATTGACTGGTTTGATTTTAACCAGATTATCCACTTCCTATACAAAGGGGGAAGCTTTACATTAAAGAAATACTTGGAATGGTTTTCACCTGTGTCCACAAGGGATGATTTCTTTCCAGGTGCTTTGTGACTGAGTTGCATAAAAAGTGTATCTAATATTGACTGAATGCAATCCCAGGCGCCCTTGCAGGTATCCCACCTGCTTATTCCATTCGGTACTCACAGCAACTCTCTAAGGTGGCTATCATCATTATTATATTTTTCCCAGAAAAGGAAACTGGAACATAATTTGCCTGACATCACACGGGTATAGGGAAGGAGTACCAGGATTCAACAGAGCAGTTCCTCTCCTCAGCCTGCAAATGTCACTATGTAGCTATTCCGTCCCATCTGCCTGTACGCTATTCTGTCAGTGCACTATTCCGATTCACAGACTACATATCCCAACTCTGGCAAAATGGTAAATGTGCTTTGGCTCGAGCAGCAGGTGGAGGTAAGGATCTCACTCCACGAAAAAACTGAAGGCTCCTGGTTCCGCGTGGGAGCCGGAGGGTCCTGTCTACTAGGCAACAGCTGTAGCGCTGCGGACGATAATGCACCCTTTTCCAGGGACCCAAAGGGGTGACGTCATTTCCTTCAGCCGTTCCTTCCGCGACGCTTCAGGCGGAAGAGCGGCGTTGGGTACCCGAGAGACCTGGCGGTTGGGAAGTCACTTCCTTCCGGAGACGCGGTTTCTTAGCAACCGTCTCCCATCTCCGCTTTTTAGTCCCTCCCCTTTGCTCAGTCCGGTGCCAGTACCCGAGAGCCGGCAGGCCCAGGTCAGGGCGGGAGGCTCCTGTCCAAGGCCAGGAGCTCAGTGGGTGGCGGGAGCCCTCCGTAGGATCGGCTGGGGTGGGTACAGAACGCGGGTCTTGGAGGGTCTCGGAGGAACGGGGCGTGGATGGCTCTCGGTGTGCTCGGGCCTGGCGAGTGCTGGGAGCTGGGCGGGCAGGCGGCGCGGTGCAGTGCGGAGCCGGCGGGGACCCGGCGCCACTCGGCCCGGCGGGCGCGGTCCCTGGTGGCGCGCTGCTGCGGACAGCTGGGTCGCCTAAGCCCAGGCCTCCGCTCCGAGCACGGGAAAAGTTCACGGGCCCATTCGTGCAGTGATTTTAATACTGCCTATCATGGAAACTTCGTTTTGTTTTATCTAGCCCTGTGAGCACTGTTGCGAGAGGGAAGAGCGATTGGGAAAAAAAATATACATATATGTATATATATACATATATATATATATATATATATATCGCTATTAAAGTTTAGCATTATCTTTGTCTTTCACTAGAGCTGTACGCAAGCTTTTGCTTGTTTGCTTGTTTGTTTTGGTTGTCCTTCTAGCTGTATCTTTTATGCTGCCAATCTCCTTTAAAACAAGGTATGGCTGTTTCATGGGCACTGTTGTATTTTCTGAATGGAAGAGAAGTGAAAAATAAGGTGTTGTATTTTAACTGGCAACATTTTACCATACTAAGCTGTTACAGTCGTTTATTTGCTCATCCTTAAAATAATTGCCATATTCTTTTAGGATAACTTCAATTTGATTTTTCCTTTTTTTGATAATAAACTTGTGAAAATTTTATATTTCTTTATAAGAACACTAAATATTTAAGTGAATATGTAGCGCGATGTTATGAGATGCTTTTCTTAATTTTTTTGTTTGCTCTTTTTTTTAGCACTAAAGAGTAGTAATAGAAATTCTCAAATATGCAAAAAAGTCTGATTTGTTTTTTATTTCAGATACCACTAGAGTTTTGAATTATTCCTATTATTTATTAGCTGTTTTACAAAGGTAGAGTAAAAATCAAAAAACACTATGTCCGATGAAGTTTTTAGCACAACTTTGGCTTATACAAAGAGTCCAAAAGTCACCAAAAGGACTACTTTCCAGGTAAGTATTTCCAACGTTTTTGAGTGATTTTAAAGGTAAACATTGTGTTAGCAATGTTGGATTTAAAATGATTCTACAAAGGGCCCTGTGTAACACAGGAGTGTATCTTACATTCCTTTGGAGGTTTTGCAGGTGGTCCTGTTTGGGCTCAAGTGTTACCAACTCTCTTCTGTGTGGCTTACAGAAGACTACTTAACTAGCTTAACTACTAGGTTCTTACTAAGTTAAAAATTTAAATCAACTTTTAAAAGTTAAGTTATATAGCAACTTTAAATTTGCATGTAGTTTTTTTCTGTTATAATAACATTTCAGTTTTTTCCATCCAGTCACTACAGTTTTGAACTCAGCCTCTAAGTTTGCAGTATTAGTTACATTTATTACTGCAGTGTGCTAAAACAAAAGATCTTAAAAAGTACCAGTTTCTTCCAAAATGCCAGTTTGTAATAAATCTTGTCTAAATTGAGTCCTATCTTGTTTATTACTCTCCTGCCTTAATTACACCCTGTAACTAATTTATTTGCTGTTGCCTGTCTCCTCCTGTTGAACTGGAAGTTCCATAAGGAGAAGGGGCTTGTCTGTGATGTTACACATTGAGTCTGAGGGCTTGGGTGCATGGCATAAGGTAGGCTTTCATTGAATATTTGTTATATGAATGAAACCCGAGTCTGAAAGCAGTTATTAATCAAGCGTTGTTTAAAGAATTCTAAATATGAGACCTCTATGTTTGGATGGAAATTGATTTTAATTATCTCGTTTCAGGATGAGCTAATAAAAGCAATTACAGCTCGCTCAGCCAGGCAAAGGAGTTCTGAATACTCAGATGACTTTGACAGTGATGAAATTGGTATGTGTCAATGTGGAAAAGTGAACCACTTTTCCTTTTTTTGTTTCCTTAGTTATGTTTAACTCATCCCTTCAAAAATAATCAGTTATGTCAAAATAACTGGTTCTAAATAATTGGTTCTAAATTTCCAACTTTTTAGTGAGTAAAAAGCCACTCGGAAGCTTCAAGAAGTTGTATGATTATCTTGGTTTATTTCTGAATGGTGTATACTGAAAATATAAATTAACTGATAGCAGGTTTGAAGTAAAAGTATGCCTGTCTGCTATAAACCATGTTGGACACAACAGTGTCAACCTTATGAGACTCTACAGCGAATTAAAAACTAGAGCCCAGAGAACTAAACTTTAGTGCATGTCATAATCACTTTTGTAATGCTTTTTGTAAATCAGATTTTCTTTTGGCTGTAATAGGGGTTTAGTTTTAAAAACCTAGTATATCAGTGCTGGTATGACTTAATTTTGTCTCTTTCGATACTGTAAAAATATTAACATTTTAGGTTTCAGATGTAAGCACACAGAATTCCAAACTTGAAATTCAGCACTTTATACTTTAATATGAAGTAAATAATTTTTAATGTTCTTTGTGAAAATAATCAGAACAGTAGTTAAAGCATTGCTGTATTGTTAAATTGGCATTCTTTAATACTCTTCTCACAGTAAAATCTAATACTCTGGTATGGATGAAATTGTAGAACCAAAGTTTTTATGGAAAATAATTTAATTAGCAAATAACTAGAAAAGTTCTTACACTTACCAGTGTTTTTGATTTTATATAATGAAGTCATTTGCAAATAAAAGCTCTACAGTCCAAAACCTAATTTAAATAACCCAAGTCATCTTTATTTTGAGGAACCTTTGAATGACTTCTCAGAGCAAGTGGAGAGTTTGGCACATAATTCACACTCACTAAGTATAATTAATGAATAATGAATAAATTAATGAAATTGAATTTTTTTTTTCAAAAATACCAATAACAACTGCCTAAGTTAGTTGTGTGTTAGAGCTGCAAATACTTGTACATTCATTGTTGTAAATTCATTTCTCGTCTTTAAGGTAATCTTTTTGATTAATACGACCTTCACAACTTTAAAGAGGCTATTGAAAACGTTTTTTCTCTTCCATTTTTCAGTTTCCTTAGGTGATTTTTCTGACACCTCAGTAGATGAAAATTTGGATAAGAAAAAGATGAATGATTTCCATTTATCAGATGATGAAGAAAAGAATTCTCCAAAACTGTCTTTTTTGAAAACCAAGAAATCAAACAGTGACATGATGGAAGATGAGGCAGTATTCTCCACCAAAAATGATGAGGAAATGGCACCTGATGGTTGTGGAGATATGGCTGGAACTCCCTTATCTGAATCTCAAAATAAAGACCAAGAAATTGAAAAAGACAAAATTAAAATGAAACCTAAACCCAGAATTCTTCCAGTCAAAGGCAAATCTTCAGGTAATTCATGTTACTATATTTCTTGAAAACATATTTTATTTATTTTAATTTTTAATTTTTTTTTTTTAAGATTTTAGTTATTTGAGTGAGAGAAAGAGAATGAGAGAGAGCACAAGTGGTGGGAGGGACAGTGGCAGAAGGAGAAGGAGACTTGCTTCCTCAGGTCATAACCCTGAGATTATGACCTAAGCCAAAGGCAGACTTGTAACCCACTGGCCACTCAGGTGCCCCTTGAAAACTTATTTTAAGATAATCACAAAATATATGGTAGCTAGTAAATATTTAAGAAATAGGCATAACTTTGTAATTTAGAGTTATAAAGCAAAATAATGGAACCATATAGAAAACTCATAATTCTGATGTCCAGTTGCATGTTAGTCTTGCATGTATGCTGGTGCCTAACAGAAGGCCAGAGTACCTTGCCCTCCACAGCTGGGGCTCCCACAGTTTCTAGGTCCAGCCTTCTGAGGCCTTTGGGCTTCAGTTTTGTTTTTGGAGATGCAACTGCAATGCAGTCCTTTCTAATCCATTTTACACTCCAGAAATTAGTTACAGCAGGAAGGAACTAGTCCTTCAGTCATTTCCATGCCATCATTTGCCAGAAAATCTTTTTGACGTTTTAGAATGTGAAGGGATAGAGTTTTGTTGTTGGTGTTGGTATTTAAGCCTCCAGCTTGCCTTACGGAAACAGAATCCCCATTTAGTTTCTCTGTTCCCTGGGAAAATCCACTCAAACTCAGTTTTCTGAAGGGAAGTTCCTGGTATGATTGGGAGTAGAGTTGTTTCTCCACAGTTCTACTGAGCTCTAGACACAATGGAGCAAAGACGAAGTGAAGCAGGAACCAGCCTCTCAAGAGGTCCCCTGGGCCACCATACAGAAACAGGGTCATAGAAGTTTAAGGTTTTGGTGTCTTGTAGTCATTTTTTCCTGTTTTTAGAAAAAATATTAGTTGATACTAACCTTCATAAAAATATCTTTCCTTTATATCATCATTAAATATTCTACTGGTAAATATTTCATACTTCACATATTAGATATCACTAGTAACATCAGACAGAACTTTATTTCAGAAATTTTAAGGGAACCACTCCTTCCCCCACAATCCCATTGACTTTCAAATATGAACAGAGCAGGGACTACTAGGAGAAGAGACATTATATTGTTAATTATATGTGACCTAGGCAAATAAGGTAGGCCTTATTGTCCTCATGAGGAGGAGGATAAAACCTGCTCTTCTCTTTCTACTGAATTGTTTCAAGAATCTATTGAAGTATATCTCAGAAACTCTATAGTTCTACCAAAAATATAAGCACAAGACATAATGAAACAGAATTAAGCTGCTGAATGTACCTTCCCGGTGTACTGAATAGCACCAAAAATGGAGAGAAAGGAAGCATAATGGAACTTGGTGAATAATCTAGTAGTTCACCATTTCCCAAAGTACATTCTACAGTCTGTTGCTTGGTATTATTGGAAAAACACAGAATTTTAGAAATTTTAAAGTGATTTCTTAGTGGGAAAACTTCTTGGAGCCATTAATAAAGAAATATGAATGGGGTATCTTCAAGAAGAATAGAGCAGACAGTATTTCCTGGTTCCAGTAAATTTAGAAATCTATTTTTGTGGATTGTATTTATCTTATTTGTCTTGATTCTGAAAAGCTTTTTATTAGGTAAATGAAAGCATACAGAAATTATGCTTACATAGAAAATGTATGCTTTCTATGCTTACATAGAAAATGTAAGCATACAGAAGCTAAAAGTCTTAGATAGAAGTATCTAGTTAGAACTGGATGGTGGATAATCATTAATAATCTATCTATTTAATACTTAAAAAAAAAACATGTGACAAAGTAAAATTAATAGAGAAATATTGTCTTTAAACCACAAGATGGCACCAAGATTCTAAATATTATACACAAATGTGCAATACTTTTTTTTTTTTTTTTAAAGATTTTATTTATTTATTTGTCAGAGAGAGAGAGAGAGAGCGAGAGTGAGCACAAGCAGATAGAGTGGCAGGCAGGGGCAGAGGGAGAAGCAGGCTCCCTGCTGAGCAAGGAGCCCGATGTGGGACTCGATCCCAGGACGCTGGGATCATGACCTGAGCCAAAGGCAGCGGCTTAACCCACTGAGCCACCCAGGCGTCCCGCAATACTTATTTTTAAAGTCATTAGCCATTTGCAATTTATTTTATGTTATATAAAAATAATTACCAAAAACAGTTAGTCATTTACACTTAATTAGGAAAGAAAGCATTTTGAAATTGTATAGTTGTGTTTTTGTTTTTGTTTTTGTTTTTCTTTCTGAAAGCTTAACAGTACTTCTAGGAGTGGAGTGGAATTTTGGTATAAAATATATTAAAGTCATTATTTGTAGACTCTTCAGATTGAAGAAAAAAATTGAGATTAGTGGTTAGTGCCTGGCATATACAATTCAATAAGTATTTTAGTGTAATCATAAGTGAATGATTTCATTCATGAAAGAGAGTGTGGTTCACAAGCTAAGCTTTATCCTTTTTTGAATTTTTAGACTTTTTTTCTTATGAAGTTTGGAACTTAGTATTTTTAATGTGAGACATTGCCAAGTAGCAATTAAGGCTTTATAAAAATACTGGAACCTGAAAGTTTACTTTGTTCTTGCTGTCTTTTGTTAAAAGTGTAGTAACTAGACTCTTCACTTGATTGAGCAACTGTCACATGGGGAGTGATTGCAGAAAGTAATTTTTACAGGATGTGTTGCTTTTATTTTAACATTAAAATGACTAAAATCATGAACTTGGAGCCAGGGTGCCCTTGCTTTAATCCCACAAACTAGAGTTTATGACCTTGGGCATATGACCTCTTTGTTCCTCATTTTATTTGTCTGTAAGATGGGCATAATAGTTGAACCTGAACTAAAGGTTTGAGACAATTAAATGAGTTTATATATTTGAAGTGTTTAGAACAATCTGGCATAAAGCACTTTTCTAAATGCTTTTATTAGCATTTGTTCGTAAGCAGATCATTTTATTTTTCCATACATATTTATTATAAATACAGTCTGTTTCAGAATGTTACAGGCACTGTGATGATAACTAAGAATACGACATTAAAAAACATTGTACCAAAAACAAAACAAAACAAAAAAACCAAAAGACGTAGTACCGATCCTCCAAGATTGTCTTAGTCCATTTGGGCCACTATATGAAAGTACCATAGACTGGATGGGTTTTAAAAAATGGAAACCTATCTCTCACAGTTTTAGAAATTACAAGTCTGAGATCACGGTGCCAGCACGGTCAGGTGAGAGCCCTCTTCCAGATCTCAGACTTCACATTGTGTCTTTACAATGGTGGAAGGGGCGAGAGAGCTCTCTGGAGGCTCTTTTATAATCCCCTTCATGAAGGTTCCGCCCTTGTGACAGGGTCACCTCCCTACTGCCTTAATACTATCACCTTTGTGTTTAGGATTTCAACCTAAGAATTTGAGAGGTACACAAGCATTCAGACTGTGGCAAAGACTTTACAATTTAATGGGAAGGTATATGAAAGGTGTAGTAAGAACACAGGAAAGGAGGCACCTAAGTTTACCTGAGGGCATCAGGTAAAGCTTCCTGGAGGAAATGGCAATAATAGTTGTAACTGAAATAATAGTACCCATAGTCAGGAGTCTTGGTTGCAAATGACTTGACTCAAACTAAAGTGGAAAGAGAAATTTATCACCTTATTGAGCATGGATGTCAAAAGACCTCTCTTTAGGTCTGATTAAGTTTGTAAACAGTAGTTTTATGTGATCTGCATTCTCTACTTCTACTTCTTCTTCCCTCCCTGATTTCCAGACCTCCTCACTATCTCCTCCCACCCCTGTCACTGGCCCAGTTACTCCATCCGCTGGTCCTATATTTTTGTCATTGGGTCTCTTTGTCTCAGACTTCCCTTCACCTGGCTGGAAGGAATGCCACTAGTAGTCCCCAAATCATATCCTTTGGGCCTTGTGACCTTAAAGGCATATCCTCCAACTCTAAATAGAAAAATACTGACCTGACCATCTGCTGTGGACAGGGGAAATGATGTTTCTGTGATAAGCTGGGAGGGTGATACATACTGTGAGCACACCCCTCTCACTGAGGTACAGAGGAGATGTTTGTTAACCCACTAGAATTACAAGGATGGAGAAGAGGAGAGACTACCCCAAAGAAAACAGGAGTGACAAACAAACCAAAAAAAACAAAAACAAAAACAAAAAAAAAAAAAGAAAAGTTTACCACAGTTATTAATGTTCACTGAGAGCATTTACCATGAGTCTGGCACTGTGCTATGCACTTTATTTTCTCACTTAGGTCCCACAGGTACCTTAGGAATTCTTAACTAATTTTACTAACGGGGAAACTGAGCTCGTGGAGATATGGTCATGTAAGGTTATAATGCTAGTAAATGTCGGAGCCAAGATTCATGTATGAAATACCTGAACTAGACACACTCCTCCAGACAGAAGGTAGAACGGTAGTTGCCAGGGGCTCTGGGGCGAGGAAAAGAGGACTTGCTGTTCAACAGGTGTAAAGTTTCACTACGAAGGTGAATATATTCCAAAGATCTGTACAACACTGATTCTCTAGTTAGCAGTACTGTATTGTGTGCTTAAAATTTGTTAAAAAGATAGGTCTGTAACCACAGACCTGGTTACAGACCTACCCTCTTAACAATTTTGTAAATTGTTTTTACTACTGGGCGCCTGGGTGGCTCAGTGGGTTAAGCCGCTGCCTTCGGCTCAGGTCATGATCTCAGGGTCCTGGGATCGAGTCCCACATCGTGCTCTCTGCTCAGCAGGGAGCCTGCTTCCCTCTCTCTCTCTCTCTCTGCCTGCCTCTCTGTCTACTTGTGATCTCTGTCAAATAAATAAATAAAAAATCTTTAAAAAAAAAATTGTTTTTACTACAATTTACAAAAAAAAACCTGACTCAACACCTTCTTTTAGGCATTATATAATATTCTGCTTACACTTAGGCTCGAAAGACAGGCAAGCATTTGTCAGGAGAAGCAGCGGGAAGCAGACATTCTAGGCAGAGGGATGAACTGGGTAAAGGTATGGTAGCAGGAGGGATTGTGGCACAGCAGTGAGACAGCAGTGAGCCCGGCATTTCTGGAACATAGATTACAAAATGGATGTGCGGGTAGATGAGGCAGTGCCAGCAGGAGAAGACCATAAGACCTTAAGCTTTTATTCCATAGGATTTGACGCTGGGGAGCCATTGAGGCATTTTATGGAGAGGAGTAATGTGATCTGATTTTCATTTTTCAAATACCTCTGAGGCAGTAATCTAGGAAAGAGCGGATGAGGAGCTGAGGGTGGGGATGCAGAAAGTGGGTTAAATGAGAGATGTAGCAAGAATCAGTGGGGTATCCTGACCCATTAGATATAAGGGGAACAGAGGGAGGAATCCGGGATGGCTTGAACGTTTGGCCAGAGTTTAGAACACAGCTAAAATTGGCAATTGGAACATTTATAGTAGTGCCACTTGGTATGATGATGGAGTCTTCTAGCAGTGTTCATAAGGCCATGTGTAGATAAAGAGGATGAAGGTTTTGATTATTTCAGTTTTGAAATTTTGTCAGAGGGAAACACTGGTAGAACAATGAAGAAATGAATATGCTTAACAGGTAAAATTTGGGCAAAAAGTTTATGTAAAAACTTTCTTATATTTTGAGGGCTGGACGAATACCAGCCCTAGATTGTTGTTTTAAACTTGGAAGTAATGGAAATAGTCACTGAGAAATTTTTAACTGCAGAGAAGTTTTATGGATTCAAAAAGCAGCAGCTCATAAATGTAGTTCTTCATTCCTCCGTCCGGGGAGAGCGAACACTTCTGCCCCCAGTACCGACATCACCTTCGTACTTGTAACAGAACTTACCTTTCTCTTAGAATTTCTTCTCCTCCCCTCCCAACCTGTAAAATCCCTGGACGGGGCCATGGTCATTGTCTTGACTATCAAGTCTGGGAATGTGAGTAATCTGTATGTGGCCTAGCCACAGATACTGGCTGAAGGTTCATAGATGAGCCCCCTCCTGTTAGAGAGGCAGAAACTGGGGCATAGTTGGGGTTTTGTTTTTTATTTTTTATTTTTATTTTTTGCATGCTAGGAGAGTTCATAAAATTGAAGCGTTAACTTTTCACAAAACATAAGTATGCTAGTTCCTTCCGGGATGGCAGCTACTTTTAAAAAAGAAAATTTGATCATGAGCTATTGCTTATTTGTGCTTCTGGGAGCTCTGTGTAGAGAACGTTTGTGGGCTTCTTCTGGCTCTCCAGGACAGAGAGCCACGGTGCACAGGCACAGGAAAGAAGTGGGGCAGCGAAGTGGTGGTAGGTGAAGTCATGGGCACTGTTCGGTATGCTCACCTTAAAACGGTTTATTTTTCAACAGAAAACAGCAGCAGTCTTGAAGCAGACAAGCACTTTAAGCCTTTACCTCGTCCACGGAGCATGTTGAAAAAACACAGCCACAGGGAGGAGAAAGATGGGCTAGGCAAAGATGAGACCACTGCCCTCCATGAAGAATTGGAGGCACATTCTGCACCCTCCCCCTTTCCAAAACTAAGTGACAGACAACTAGAAGCTGTGAAAAAATTGTTCTCCGAAAACCTCGATCCTGAGGTTAGCACTACTGTTGAATTGCTGGATTGTGCTCTTGAACTGAGGTCTTTGCAGCTGATTATGGAAAAGAGAGTATTTGTGTGCATGCATGTGATGTGTGTGTGTGTTTGTGTGTGTCACACATGTTTTCTTCAGCAGTTGATAGGGAAATCTATAAAGCTTTCTTTTTTTTTTTAAATATACAGTATTCCACTGAGTCTAAAACTTCAACTCTAAGATATAACAAAGATGTAGCATTATTTTATGTACTGCTAAGAAAGGAGAAAACTACAGACACCAGTAATTATAAAATGAATCATCCAATTGCAGAGAAAGTGAAATGTGAAAAAAAAGTTGCCCTTTTGAATCTATGCAATACTATCTTTCATCATAAGAATTTATAGGTTTATTCACATACCTTTTTTTTTTTTTTGAAGATTTTATTTATTTATTTGTCAGAGAGACAGAGAAAGAGCACAAACAAACAGAGTGGCAGGCAGAGGCAGAGAGAGAAGCAGGCTCCCTGCTGAGTAAGAAGCCCGAAGCGGGACTCGATTCCAGGACCCTGGGATCATGACCTGAGCCGAAGGCAGCCGCTTAACCGACTGAACCACCCAAGTGTCCCATATTCACATATCTTTGAATTATATTATTTATGGCTAAGGAAAATATAGCCAATGTCATTTTATTTATTTGGTTTTATTCACTCAACAAAGGTATATTGAATGATCATGGCACTGTCCTATATTTTGGGGATCTGCCAGAATGGGAGTAAATGTGACCCTTTGGGATTTCATCAGAGAGTTTACTATGTATTGTTATTAGGAGAGAACGCTGGGCCTCCTCTCTTTACATTGCACTGTGGTTAGTGAACTTCCACCTAACATTTCAGAAGGAGTAAGTATGGGAAGAACATTCTGTCTCCATAATCTGCTTGAGCAAACTGGGGAAAAGGAACGGAATGGTACCTGACTAAGCTTCTTTCTTTTTCTCCTCACTCTGCGGTAGTGATGCGTGTAAAGATCTGGTCCCTGGAAGGTGGTACAGAGGGAAACTGGGGGCAACTCCTGTGTGTTATGACTAAATAAATAAACCTTTCCAGTTCGGATAGGAAGTATGAGCACGGTAGACAACAGGTTCAAATCTGGTTTCGTAGTTTAGCTTTGCCAGTAAAGCTGACAATTTGATATAAATCTTTCTGACCTCAATGTGCTCTTTCCTAATTTGTTCTGAAAATTCAAGAAAAGAAAAAGAGGTCTTCTCAAACCCAGTCATTTTATATTTAATAAAATGATCTGGTCAAGTGGATTTCGTGTTAGTTTACTGTAGCTGCTATAACAAGCTGCCACAAACTCAATGACTTTTAAACGACAGAAGCCTCCGGTCTGGAGGCTAGAGTCCAATGGGCAGCGCCACGTTCTCTCTGAAGCTTCTAGAGAAGAATCCTTCCTTGCCTCTTCTGCCTGCTGTTGGTTACCAGCAGTCTTTGGTGCTCCTTGGCTTGTAGCGGCATCACATCCTTTGCTCCATCATCATGTGGCCTTCTCTTCCCTGTGTCTCAGTGTCTCCCTCTCTTTTCACTACAAAAGACACCAGTCATTGGATTTAGGGCCCACCTATTCCAGTATGTTTTCATTTTAACTACTGCCATTTGCGAACACTTTATTCTCAAATAAGATCACATTCTGAGGTTCTGGATAGACATGAATTTCGAGGGAACACTATTGAAAGTGGTACTGGTTCCTCGCTTTAAACAATCTTTGCTAACATTTCCATATCCCTTGATTTAAGGGGAAAAAAAGGTATTCCTAAAGTTTTTTTTTTGATTTGTTTTTGTTTTTTTTAAATATTGACTTTTTTTTTTTTTAAAGATTTTATTTATTTGTCAGAGAGAGAGAGTACACACAAGCAGGCAGAGAGGCAGGCAGAGAGAGAGGAGGAAGCAGGCTCCCTGCCAAGCAAGGAGCCCGATGCGGGACTCGATCTGAGGACCCCAGGATCATGACCTGAGCTGAAGGCAGCGGCTTAACCAACTGAGCCACCCAGGCATCCCGGTATTCCTAAAGTTTTTAAAGTAACATCATATTATGACAAAATTTAACCAAATAAGATACCAACTTATAATCCCACCATCTCATAGTAACTATGTTTATCAGTTTTATTCCCTTTTAGCCTATTTTTCTAAACTTTTTATCACATTTGTCATCTTAACATAATGTTTGTATCATGCTTTTTCTTTATCTCAATATTAGATCATGAAGTGTTTCTATGCTGCTGGGTGATCTAGAGACCATATTCTCCTTACTGATTATAACATAGCCCATAATATAAAACTTTTATGTTATTGTGGGGTATATTGGATACTTCTATTTTCTTTTTTTTTTTTTTAAGATTTTTTATTTATTTATTTGACAGACAGAGGTCTCAAGTAGGCAGAGAGGCAGGCAGAGAGAGAGGAGGAAGCAGGCTCCCTGCTGAGCAGAGAGCCCGATGTGGGACTTGATCCGAGGAAGGACCCTGAGATCATGATCTGAGCCGAAGGCAGAGGCTTAACCCACTGAGCCACCCAGGTGCCCCTGGATACTTCTGTTTTCAATAATCTAAATGTTACATATTTTTCATTATAAAAATCTTCCTGACTGTGCTCTGAATCTTCTTTAAACCCACCTTCTCAAGGATTTCCCATTTATTTTTTCGCTCAACTCTTCTCTCGCCGTATCTATGACCTTTGGCCCTTTATTGGAAGAGTCAAAAACTGGAAGGGTCTGTTTCCATCCACATTCAACTATGATCAAGACTTTTTAACTTTGTGTACACTCCCTCTTGATATCATGCCTCTCCTCCTACTGTCTTATCTTCCTTCAAATATCTTGAAATTTTGGATCTTGAAATGGTGACATTTGCTTTCTTACCATCCTCATCTCCCACCTTTCCTTTGTGTGTGTTTGTGTGAGAGAGAGATAGAGAAGAGAGCAAGGGGAGTGGAGATGATACATATATATGTACAAATGTCAAACTAAGCATTCCTGGGATAAAATCTGGTTGATCATGGTAGAATATTTTATTGTGGGATTTGATTTGTTAGTGTTTTGTTAAGACTTCTACATCCATATTTACAGGGCTATTTACCTATAATTATTTCCTTACAATGTTATTATCAGGCTTGGGTATCATATGAGTTGGGGAATATCTCTTCCTCTTTTTTTCTAAAAGTTTGTTTGGTATGAAACCAAAAGTTTGGTATCAATTTTTTTTTCCTTAATTGAGAGAATTCACTAGTGAAATCAATGTGGAATTTTCTTTGTGAAGAGATACTTGACAGTAAATTTTATTTTTGGATACATTATTTTGGTATTCAGATTCCCTGTTTCATCAATTTGGTAATTTATGTCTTATTAAGAAATTTGTCCATTTCATCTAAGATTTTGAACTTATAAATGGGAGGTTGTGATATTTTTTATCCTTTTGATGACAGTGGGATTATCATAACATTCCATCTTTTATTTCTAATAAAAAGTTTATGTTTTCTGTCTTCCTTGTTAAATCTTGATAGGCATTATCCAGTTTTATTAAACTTTCCTAACTTTTCTAACCAACTTTGACTTTGTTAATTTTCACTATTGTTTGTTTCTAATTTCACTGATTTTCACTTATTATTATTACTTTCTTTGGGTTTAATTTACTTACACCCTTAAGTTAGAAAATGGGTTCATTGATTTTAAGCCTTTTATCCTTTCTATTAAAACCATTGACAACTATAAATTTCCCTCTCCGCACTGCTTTAGGAGCACCCCATTTTTTTTTAAATTTTTTATTTCTTTTCAGCGTAACAGTATTCATTGTTTTTGCACCACACCCAATGCTCCATGCAATCTGTGCCCTCTCTAATACCCACCACCTGGTTCCCCCAACCTCCCACCCCCCGCCCCTTCAAAACCCTCAGATTGTTTTTCAGAGTCCATAGTCTCTCATGGTTCACCTCCCCTTCCAATTTCCCCCAACTCCCTTCTCCTCTCTAACTCCCCTTGTACTCCATGCTATTTGTTATGCTCCACAAATAAGTGAAACCATATGATAATTGACTCTCTCTGCTTGACTTATTTCACTCAGCATAATCTCTTCCAGTCCCGTCCATGTTGCTACAAAAGTTGGGTATTCATCCTTTCTGATGGAGGCATAATACTCCATAGTGTATATGGACCACATCTTCCTTATCCATTCGTCCGTTGAAGGGCATCTTGGTTCTTTCCACAGTTTGGCAACCGTGGCCATTGCTGCTATAAACATTGGGGTGCAGATGACCCTTCTTTTCACTACATCTGTATCTTTGGGGTAAATACCCAGTAGAGGAGCACCCCATTTTTTTGATGCCTTTCATTTTCACTGTCATTTCTTTAAATATATTTTCTTTAAATGTATTTTCTAATTTCCTTTTTGACTGGTTATTTTGTGGTGATTAGTTTTATTTTCAAATATTTGGATCTTCTCTAGATGTAATTTTGTATTGATTTGTAATTTGATTTTGTTATGAGCAGAGAATATATTTTACATGATTTCACATTTAAAAAAATTCTTTAGGTTTTTTTTTTATGGCTCAGCCTAAGTGTATCTTATGAAAGTTCAATTTGCATTTATAGAGAACGTAACTTTTGCAGACATTGGGTGTAATGTTCTATAACTTCAGTTTGCTCAAGGTGGCTGGTAATGTCTCTGAATCTTCTCCATCCTCACTGTTTTTGTGTCTAGTTGTTTTACCAAATATTAACTAAGGGGTGTTGAAATCTCCAGTTATGTTTGTGAATGTGTCTCCACTTCCCTTTAGTTCTGTCAGTGTTTTATGACTCTGTTGTTAGACACATACACATTTATTATCATTATGTCTCAACCCTATTTACATTATGAAATGTTTCTACCCCTGGTAATACTCCTTATCTTGCAGTTTGCTTAGCCTGATATCTCAGCTTTCTTATTACTGGTATTTGCATGGTGTACATTTTCCTATAATTCTCTTCAAACTATTTGTGACTTTCTTTTTTATTTAATTTTTTATAATAACACTTTTGTAATAATTATTTGGTATTACTTTTTTTTTTAATCAAGTCTGACAGTCTGCTTTTTAATTCTATTCCATTTGTGAGTATAGAGTCCATTTACTTTTAATTTGGGACTGATTTGTTGCTGTGGGTTTTCTGTTTATTTCATTTTATTTAGTTGATTTATTGTTCCTCTATAATGTTTTCCCTGCCCTTTTTTATTTTTTTTGAGAGTTAACCACATGGGTTTTAGTTTCCAATTTTGATTCCTCTGTTGCCTTTTTAGCTGTACTTATTTGTGTTATGTTTTTAGTAGTTGCTGTGTGGATTACAAGATGCAGCTATGAATTATCAGTCTACTTAGATACTATACTATTTCATATTTAATATAGAAATCTTGTGATAGTGTAGTTCCATATATTCCCTCATCCATCCTGCTATTGTTGTCATATTACACTACATTTATATATGATATAATCCTCACAATTCAGTGTTACAGTTTCTCTTTAAACAAAATTTTTTGTCTTCCACTTTTAAAAAATTAAAAGAATAAATATTTATAGTTTTCTTAAATTATAATATAGCATTTCTGAGGATCTTTATTTTTATTCCTTCCTGTAAGTCCAAATTACCTTCTAGTATTATTTCCCTTCAATTTAAGAACTTATTTTTGTTTCGCTAGTGATGGGTTCTTCAGTCTTACTTACCTAAAAAATATTTATTTCATTTTCATTTTTGAAGGATGGTTAGCTGAATATATGCTTCGGGGCCAACAGTTCCCTTCTCATCCTCGCAACTCTTTATAGGTTTCCATTGTTCCTGGCCTGTATTATTTCTGGTGAGAAATCAGTGATAATTCATTTTGTTGCCTTCCTAAATATGTCTTGTTTTGGTTTTTTTTTTTTCTGACTGCTTTTCAAGATTTTTTTTCAATTTTGTATTACAGCATTTGACTACAGAGTAACTAGATGTGTGTGTTTTTAAAAAGTATTTGCTTGGGTTTCTTTGAGTTCTCAGGATCTATAAGCTGGTACTTTCTAAGAAAATGGGAAGTTTTAAAATATTTTTTCCTGCCCTAGTTTTCTTTTCTCTTCTTTTAGTACTGAAATCTTTGGTATGTCTCATCTAATCTCTAAAATTCTGTTTATGTTTCTTCAGTCTTTATTCCCTTTGTTTTTCAGATTGAATAATTTGTATTGCTCTGTCATCAAGTTCACAGCCATGTTCTGCCATCTTGATCTGCTGTTATCTATCCAGCAAATTTCTTATTTCAGTATTGTAGTGTCCAACTGTATAATGTCCATTGGTATTTTTATATTTCTAGTATCTTTAAGATCCCATTTGTGTCAGCTTCCATGCGTGCATTTCCTCTAAGTGCTTGAACATACTTATAATGCCTACTTTAAAGGTTAATTGTAATATATGGGTCATCTCTAGGTTGGTTTCCAAGGACTGTTCTTGTGGTTTTTGTTTTTATTTTCATGAGTATGTGCCACCATTTTCCATTTCTTTACCTATTTGGTAATTTTTTGATTGAATACAGGACATTGTGAATGATTATGTTATAGAGATTCTAGATTTGTTATGTTCCTCTGAATAACGTTTTAGTATACAGATATTGTGGCTGAACTCAAATTCCCAACTCTGTCTCCCTTGCTCCAGATACCAATGGAAATCTCTGCTTAGTTCTTTCAATTTGTAACTGCTGTGATTTTATAGGATCTTCTCTGATGTCTTTTCTATGCCATGCATAGATGAGCAAAGAATTTTGAGTGAATTTTATATGAAGATTTTGGGGTTCATGCCTACTGCAGCTCTTCCTCAAACTTACTGGCTGATCTTCTAGTCCTAGACTCTATCCTCTGCTCCCTTAAGCTAGCCCAGTAAGGCTGTAACCTTGTACCACTTGAGCTGCACAGATGGGTGAACTCAGACATAAAGCTACTAACTTGCCAGTCTCCTCTGCAAAACTTTGTCTCTCGAGGTAGATTCCTATGTTTCATCCCTTTTGTCATCTTCCTAGATGGTTTCTATTTACTGCTTTTAACAAATAATTGTCTTTGTACCATAAAATATTGTGGAAATAAAAAATAGAATTTATTATTTATACAACAAAGTCAAACTTATTACAGTGTGATACCATCAACTTTTGGCTAGATTACTATTCTCTAAAGAGATGTGTAGTTCAGACACACAATTATTTCATTTCAGATAGAATTTTCAGAATTTTGAGGAAAACTCAAGTGCATGAAATCTATACTATTTCTATCTAAATATTTGGTAGTAGCTGTTTACTTGGTTTTATAAATTGCTTTCATTTGCCAAATAGTAATATTTGACACCAAGGGTTTTTGCCTACTGTCTCCTTTATGCTTTCTTAGAAATAAGAATTAGAGAAAAAGATATCACATCTTCATCTCAAATATTTATGAGATTTGATTTGAGAGCAAGAGTTTTGAAAATCACTGAAAACAAATATCGAGATGCTGGCTCAAGAACTAGAATAGCTCTTTAGTGACCCCTTTTAATGATCAAGCCATCAAGTCTTACAAGTAAAGCATGTTAGCCTCCATAGGCTTAATGCTTTTGGTGTTTCAACAGCAAACTCCTAATTATGATGATTTCAGACTTACAAAATAGTCTTAATAATGCTGTTGCCCTACCACAAATCTTAAGAACTAAACCTACATAGTAAATTCTTTCTTTCTTTCTTTCTTTTTTTTTTAAACAGGATCCATGTTTAACAAGTTTATCATCGTCGTCCCTTAAAGAAAGTCTTGGAGATTCCTTTTCACCAGGATCTGGAGGAAAAGCATCCATAAAAGGTGGTTGTATCAAATTATTACATCTTAGTTTATGTGTGAACTCTATACTGCTTAGAATCCTATTTGTAAAAGAAAGAATACATAGTTATAGGAATGACAGGTTTATATTTGCCTCAAATTGTGCTATTTACTAACCATGTGATTTTAGATGCAGAACTAGACACAGTTCCAAGAGTAAAGTAACTAATCTCTCTGGCCCTGTATACTGATCTTATAATGGGGATCATAAGAGCAACCTACCCCACACAGTGGCCATCAGAACTAAATGGGTTAATGATACATGTAAAGCACAAGAGAACAGTGTCATGGTAAGCATGCAGTAAGTGTGAGAGATGATGTATTTCTTTCCTTAGTCCTATGACTTAGAGCTTCATGAGAGCTAAAAAGGCATCGCTGTTTCTAGGACCGAGATGTGTAACATTTATTAAGTGCTTGCTGTGTAGTATAGTTTTTGCCATTTTACAGATGAGAAAAACTGAAGTGCAGAGATATTGAGAAACATACCCAAGGTCAGTAACGGAGCTGTAATTTGAATCTTTGGCTCCATAGTTGTTCTTTTTACTGAACACATTGATTAGCAGCTCTAAAGAATCCACTGATGGTACTTGGAGTCATGAGTGCTCTCCAGATGAACAGGTCTGACTCTATTACAAAATTATCTTAACTCCTGCTTATTGCAAAGTAGGTTTCAAAGATGGCTTTGATGAAAGCAGCAGAATTAAGACTTTGACAATAAAGAGACAAGGTTGGCCAGCAGGTGGCTCCGAGTAGAGCTGTTGGTGATTGATTTCTTTCTGTTGAACATTCCAAAGTGGGGCAGACAGAATAACGGAAGCAGTTCTGTGATAGCAAAATGGAATCTTCTCATGCCAGAGCCTGAGACTGTCCTTTGGAGCACAGAAAGGATAAGCATCAGGCTCACCTTTAGTGCCTGTTAATAAAGGCAGGCATCTTAGCAGGGATAAAGCTGTCTGGAGGATGGCTTTATTTGGTGTGATGACTCTTCTAAAAGTGCATGGGTTCTTGGTTCCCCTGCACCTATACAAGTTTACAGCAGTACTGATTGTGCCTCTGGTAACATAGAGAAGTGTGCCTCCAGCTTACATAGCCTCTTGTCCCAGCTAAGAAGGCCAGACTTTGAATAGAATAGATATTGCCGGCCTACTTACTTGGTTTATCATCAACAGGAGCTTTTGGTGTGTCTTTTGCTTTAGGATAGTTATTCCATTTTTTTACTCATATATTTTTTTCTAAGTGTTAGATATGTCAAGTGTTTTTGTAGATTGAGTAGCCATTTTCTCTTTCATAGATCACTTTGGAGAAAAGTTTATTCAGGTTGAATACAATAGCTCCCCCTTACTGTATTCTGCAAGACAAAGAGTTTGTAAACACTCCTTTTAGTAGAAAGCAAATGAATCTGTTATTAGTTCAGAAGGGATTTTTAGTTTTGTGACTCTGTCTCAAAATAGATCAAAATGAAGAACTCCCTGAAAACCACATGAGTTCAAATGAAAATGAAGAGAATTCATTCTTAATAGACTTTGTCACTCCTCCAATTGAGAAATCCCAGGAAAGTCAAGTGATAACCGATGACCTTGAAGAAGAAAAGGAGAAAGCTGAACTGATGATGAATGACTTAACAGTTGATCCACCATTGTTGAAAGCTCAGAGTATCTTAGTATCTACTGATGCAACAGAGCCTTCAAAGGTATTTATATGAAATTATGCCTTTTATACTACAGTTTAAAACTCAAAATAGACCTTTTTAAATATTTTATCTGCCACATTATGTACTTCTGAATTGTCTGTGGAAAACTCATCTTTTGATAATGACATATTGTCAGGTAGACAATAGAGTCAGTAGAGTTTTACTTCGGGGAAGGTTTACAGTGAATATAATAAAAGTATTTTCTTAAAAATTATCAAAGGCATATGATCATAATATACTCTTAAATATCTCAGAAATACAAACTCATAAGTGGGTAGGTTTCTATAGGTCTCCGTATTATAAAAATATAGCTATCTGGAACAACTTCTGAGGTTTTGAATTAGTGAAAGTTATTCTTTTAGGTATCATTTTTAAACATTTTAGAAATTTTAAGGAAAATCCTTAAGACATGGTATCACCATCTTGCTTACTTAAAAGGATGGACAGGATTATTATCACAAACATTATTATTACTATTATTACCTTGAGAACCAGATTTTTGGTGTGTAGGATTACTCGTCGCTATACTATAATGTGTCAGAAAACTATAGTTTTTTAAAATTTATGGTACAGCACTTTTAGTCTTTATTCCTCTTGAATTTAGTCTTTATACCTTATAGCTATAGTTAGCTGGTGGCTATGTATACCTAATCTTGGGGAAGGTAACAGCGCTAGTTGAAAACCTGTGGTTGAGGAGGACTTTTATAATACAGAATATTAGTGCTTTGTATTAAAATTTATGGAGATGGTTCATTAAACCATGTTCCAGTTATATTGTTCATAACCACTTTCTTCAGGAAAAGTCTCTTATGCCAAGTTAGTGATGTGCTTACATCTGTGGTCTCACTTCACTGATCTGTCTGTGTAAAGTAGAGAAGTTTCTCCTTAAAAAGAAAAAGCGTATTCTGGAACTTACAGACAGGATCCTAGAAATGTCTAATAGCGGCAATTCTCAATAACAGCAGGCAATTTTGTATAACAAGTAAGAGCATAACATTTCATTTGATTGAATCCTTGGCTTTATCCTTACTCTGTCCTGAGGGATCTTCCTCAAGTCTAAATCACATCACTCCCCTGCTAAGGTCTCGATTGGATTGTCATCAGAAGAATAAAATGCAAACTCCTTCCCACATCCTCAGGACCTCACACCATTTTTCTCTGACTATATATTCATCCACTCTCGCTGCCATTCGCTGTGCATTGGCATCGTTCACTTTCTCTTTCTCAAAGTTATCAAGCTCTTTCCCTTCTCAGGCTCTTAGTACTTACTGCTTCTTTCTTCCCACAGACCTTCCTTCATGCGGGCCCCCTTTTCGCCATGGTTTTTCTTGACACTGCTGTCAAGACCTCAGGGAGGCCAGGGGCACCTGGGTGGCTCAATGGGTTAAGCCTCTGGCTTTGGCTCAGGTCATGATCTCAGGGTCCTGGGATCGAGCCCCGCATCGGGCTCTCTGCTCTCTAGGGGAGCCTGCTTCCTCCTCTCTCTCTGCCTGCCTCTCTGCCTGCTTGTGATCTCTGTCTGTCAAATAAATAAATAATTAAAAAAAAAAAATAAAGACCTCATGGAGGCCTTTCCTGGTCATTGTCATTAACGTAACTGCTCACCCTAGTCACACTGGACCCTAGTTTATCTCCATCATGACTCACATTTGGTTTTGTGTTTCATGTCCGTCAACCCTTTCTAAAATGTAGTATCCTTATTAGTTTCCAGTAGCCGCTGCACTTGACACATAGTAGATGCTCTAAAAACATTGATTTCCTGGCCTCTAGGCAGTAACTATGACAGTTACAGTGAGTAATCCATCTGTGGTATTTTCTCTTTAATAGAAAACAATTGAAGATAGAAATATGAAGACTAAAAAGTCAACAAATACTAGAGCTTCCAGTGCATCTGGCAGGTAATAAAGCTGTCGTTATCCCTCATTAATGAATGTACATTCCAATGAAGCTAGTTTTAATTTAACTTCTGTAAAGTGAATTTCATTTGATATTATTTGATTTTCTTTAAACTCCCATCTCATGAACTGAATGAGGTCATTACTTCATGATAAAACTCCTCAGTTGATCATATTCTTTTATGAAAGGAGTTGGTTAGGTGTTCTCTATACTCTGCATTGTTCCTAGGATGGAGTTTCTGTCCTGTTTTTCCTGCGACAGTACATATCAGTAATAAAGCTGAAGTCCAGCATTATACTTCTCTATTAAACACCTTTGTCCCACACATGAAAATTGTACTTAAAACCTCGAGGTTCTGTGGACTAAGTTGGTTTATTGAGATGAGAAGACTCCATATTGCTTCATTCCCACTGATGGCAACGAATGCCTAACTCATAAATGATAATCAGAACCTTCTCAGTCTTTTCAATTACCATAAATCAAATGAAACTAGAGTCCGCAAACTTTAACTGTAAATTGCCAGTTAGTACATGTATTGGACTCTGTAGGCCGTATGGTCTCCGTTGTAACTACTCGGTTCTGCTGGTGTAGCAGGGGAATAGTTGTGGTGCAGTAAACTTAAGAAATAAATAGACTGTACCAAACTGGATCATGGGCCATATTTTCCTGCCAACCCCTGAAATAGAGGATGCTGTTCTAACTTTATATTTAGAGTTGTTTATTGTAACAAAATGATACAAGAGACTTAAAATCTACTTTATTAATACTTTTTCTTTCCGTGTAACTTGAGATGTAGTCCATTTTTCTTGAAAATGTTCTAATAGGGGCGCCTGGGTGGCTCAGTGGGTTAAAGCCTCTGCCTTCGGCTCAGGTCATGATCCCAGGGTCCTGGGATCGAGCCCCACATCGGGCTCTCTGCTCAGCAGGGAGCCTGCTTCCTCCTTTCTCTCTCTCTGCCTGCCTCTCTGCCTACTTGTGATCTCTGTCTGTCAAAAAAATAAATAAAATCTTTAAAAAAAAATAAATAAAAATTAAAAAAAAAATAAAATGTTCTAATATAAATATCTTGAAAGAGCATCCATTTGAAGCTTTAGTAGATGAAGAAAAAACTATCATCATTTTCCTGTTTTATCATCACTTTCAAAATACTTATAATTTATTAATTTACAATATAATTTCAAATATAGTAGTTGTGAATTCTAGTGAATTTTTCTTCTACCAAGTACAACTAATATTTTCTGTTGATTTATTTGGATCTTTTCAGATTAATGACCCCTGAGTTCTTAAAGAAATCTAATTCTGTAAGGAGACCTCCATCAACAACTACCTCTTCTCACTATTTAGGGACTTTGAAAGTCTTGGACCAAAAGCCCTCACAGAAACAGAACATAGAACCTGAAAGAGCGGACAGCATAAGGGCAGCTGTTTATCAGGTAAAAAGGAAAACATATAACAAAAAATGAAGAACTGATCACGTAATAAGATTACCTGTTTACCAAGGAATAAAAAGACCCTATCAGAAATGATGGCTTAATACTTAATTTATTAGGAAAGATGTTCTTTTATAATACCTGAGCAACCCAGAGGTTTTTTTATTTTACTAGAATACTTCCTTCCAAGCTTTGCTGAACCGATCATGGTTGTTTAAGAGAATATGCCATAGCAACTTATGAAAATATGATAAAAGCAAAAATACTGTTAAAGTCTATACATGTTTTTATACTTTTTCTCTTTAAAATGTATATTGTTAAGAACACAAAGAGTTTTAATTTTTTCCTGAGACTTTGCATTAAGCTTATACAGAACAAGACTTTCCTGATTTTTTTTCACAGTTCCCAAAGACATCCTTTTTTTTTTTTTTTTTGTCTTGTTTGTTTTACAAAATAGTACACTTTAGAAAATTATACTTGTAAATTTTGGAGAAAAATGTTCATTTATATAGCCATTATGTTCAATCTTCAAAGTCTGTTGTTAAAACTAAGATAAGTTTTATTTTCTTAACTCATCTTTATATATTAGAATATTATCAGAAAAAGAAAAGTGATACTAGTTTATATAGAATTTCTACATTTTGTATTTTGCTTTTTTAAAATTTCTTGGGTGCTCATGTGGCTCAGTTGGTTAAGTGTTTGCCTTCAGCTCAGGTCATAATCGAGTCCCACATCAGGCTCCCTGCTCAGTGGGGCGTCTGCTTCTCCTTCTGTCCCTCCCCCCTGCTGTTTTCTCTCTCCCTCTCTCTCTCTCCCATTTTCAAATAAATAAAATCGTAAAATAAAATTTCTATCAAATATTTCAGAAATGAATAAGAATTCTGAGTCATTTGGGAAACTGAATATTATATACTTTTTTCTTGTTTTCACAGGAGTGGTTAGAAAAGAAAAATGTGTATTTACATGAAATGCACAGAATTAAAAGGATCGAAAGTGAAAACTTAAGGATCCAAAATGAACAGGTATTCTGAAATATAGAAATGGAAAATATTCTGGGTTTTTAAGTTAGTAAAATATCTCTGAGTAACATTTCTAAATCCACTGTTTTTTAAATGGCAAAATAACATGGATATATAAGAATTGATTACTGATTTTATTTCTCTGGCACTTCATACATTTTTAGTTTGATATAAATATAACCATCTCACATGAAAACAGATATGCAGAGATTTCTGATTTTTTTATGTGTGGAATATATTCGACACTACTGATTTAGGAACGTACTATTACTTGTGACTACCTATTCACTCTTACTTAACTTTTCACTGTTAAAAATTGACTTCAGTCTTACAACTTAGCCAGGAGCATAAAGGATCAGCAGATATGAACCTCCAGTTTTCCTCTTTTCCATCTTGAATTTTATACGTGTCCTTAAGACTAACGCTTATGGAGGGGCGCCTGGGTGGCTCAGTGGGTTAAAGCCTCTGCCTTTGGCTCAGGTCATGATCTCAGGGTCCTGGGATCGAGCCCCACATCGGGCTCTCTGCTTAGCAGGGAGCCTGCTTCCCTCTCTCTCTCTCTGCCTACTTATGATCTCTGTCTGTCAAATAAATAAATAAAATCTTTAAAAAAAAAAGACTAACGCCTTTGGGGGAAAAAAATACTAACGCCCATGTGAGCTCTTGACTGGTATCCTTCCCACTTACTGGAGGTGGACTCTTATTTTACTCTGGCCTGTACTTCAGTCTCTACCTCTAACTCCTGCCTGTGGTCCACAACATGCTTAGTTCCCTCCCGACTTCTGAGTTAGAAGCCCTTCCCTGTGCTGTCCAGTACTAAAAGGATTCAGAAGGAAACCGGGTTCCCCAATGCCTGGTACTGCATGGAGAAGCATTCAGGGGTGTGCCTGCATCCCCATCAGCAGTTTTGCGGCCTTAGATGGCTGAGCTCCGAGCCCGACACCTTCTCCTGTCATCGTCACAACTCGCTGAGGTGGCTTGTACCTTTACTTCTAAAGTGTGTTTTTTTTATAAGACTTCATGTCGTTTAGCATTAAGCAATAAGGCAGAGAATATAATGGGATTAGATGGTGGTAAGTCAAGTCATAACATACTTACCATACCCTCATCTACATTTTTCTCAGTTTGGCACTGAGTTTCAGCATCCTGGCTGTGTTTATTTTATAACAGTTTTATGCTTTGATGTCAATCAAAATTCAAGTTCAAAGCAAAGATCCGGGGCTTTCTGCAGGACTTGGCCAGTTGAGTTCACTCTTACTTTATAAGCCTGAAACTTTCCTGATTTTTTCCTTGTAATGGAATGTTTTATTCTGAGCATTTTGCAGTAGCACTCAGGCCATTATAGTTTATTTTGATAACGTTTGTTTAGTAGGCTTCCAAAAAAGAGTTCTTTCCCATGAATAGCAGATCAATATCTAATAAACGGGTTTATTAGAAAAGGACATTTTAAACTGTAATGAATAATTCCGATAATACTTTTTTTCTAAATCTACGTGTCTCAACCATTCTAAAAAAATTACCTGCCCTGAACAACAAGGTCTAGAAATGACGATGATGAAGTGAATTCAACACAATCTGTATGTGTCTGTATCTGCCGCTGTCTGTCCACTTGTTTATATGTCTGTCTCTTACATCTTTGAAACAGAAAAGAGCTGCTAAGCGAGAAGAAGCATTAGCATCCTTTGAAGCCTGGAAGGCTATGAAAGAAAAGGAAGCAAAGAAAATAGCTGCCCAAAAAAGGCTTGAGGCCAAAAACAAGAAGAAAACAGAGGAAGAAAATGCCGTGAGAAAGGAAGAAGCACTGCAGGTACTTGGCGGCTTGAAGTCCCTGGCGGCATGATTTTGCCTTCTCTGACTACTGGAGATTAGTGACTAGCTCTGGCTCTCCTTATTGATCATTTTCACGGTTAATAAGAAAATCATTGTGTACTTTTTCAGGCCTTTGAACGATGGAAAGAGAAAAAGATGGAATATCTTAGAGAGAAAAATAAAAAGGAGAGAGAATATGAAAGAGCAAAGAAGCAGAAAGAGGAGGAGACGATTGCTGAGAAAAGGAAAGATAACCTAACTGCTGTTGAGAAATGGTAATCCCAAATGAGAGCTATTTGATAGTTTCCAAGTGAATAACACTTTAAGGCTCTTGAAAAGGTTATTTGCTTGAAATTTACTAAAGCATTGCCATCTCATTATTGCAAAGCTATATTCAGGAATCTTTATTCTATCCTCCCCTTTAACCATCCAGTGTTCTGTAATATCCTACATAGGAATGAAAAGAAGGATGCTTTTTTCAAAGAAAAGGAGAAAGAGAAAATAAATGAGAAAAGAAGAGAAGAACTGAAAAGAGCAGAGAAAAAAGATAAAGATAAGCAAGCTATTGATGAATATGAAAAATGGCTGGTAGGTATTGTCTGTTAATGCACTTGTGTCTTGTGAATGCACTTTATTCGTGACTTTTCCATCCAGTTCTCTTTGTCTCTGCCTACTGACCATTTTTACCTGAAGCTGCCTTGTGGAATCTTGTTCTCTCTCTGTGTCCGTCCTATTGTCTTCGATTTACTCATTTCTGTTGATGCTTTTACTCTTTCCTCAAGCACTCAAATGTCAGGCAGAATATTCTTCGTTATCTGCATCCTGACATTCATTTACTTACCAATCACGCCTGTTCTTCCTTTGCAATGACTGTTACGTCTAAAATCATGGAGAGCTGACAAGTGCATTGCTGACGGTATGCCAGGCTATTTTAGGTGGGACTCGTCATGACACATAGTAATACGGGATTGAATAGTGAGAAAGTTACTCCATTTTTAAAATTCTCTTTTGATCTTTCTAATGACCTCAAGGAGAAGGTTTCATTTTGGTGTTTTTTAATGAAAGAAAGTAAGTAGAAAGTGTGGGAGGAAAATGTCTAGCTGGACTTAACATTACTTTGTTTTTTGTATTTTTTGTTTGTTTTAATGTACTTATGTTTATGGTCACTCTTCATTGATGTTAAGCAAAATACCATTTTCTGGCTTAAAATATCATTATAAATATGCATGTTTATCAATATTTGGCTAAGAATGCATTCCTATGAATAAGTACTTTATATATGAGTTGGTGACACATTCATATGAGTGGTTGCACGTCCTGTGTTGCAGCAACCAGAATGTGTAAAATTGCTCCGCTGGGTTTGGGATCCAGTAGGGTTTCTTCCCAGTAGGAATGCTTGTCTACCTTTTTTTTTTTTTAATTCACATCCATCTGCTAGTTAAAAATATCATCCAGGGTATTTTGTGGTTGTATTTCTCTGGTTAGGACTGAACGTGAGCAGCTTTTCATTTGTATAAGGGCCTTTTATAATTTTTTGTGGAAACTGTTAATTCATAGACTTTCCACATTTTTCTGTTGGTCTTTTTCTTCTTGATTTTTAGAAGCTTGTTTAAGTATTAGGGAAATTAACCCATCATTTCTGGTAGGAGTTACAACTACTTTTTGCCCATTGTTTTGTTGGTTTCTAAACTTTGCATATAGTATTTTATGTCATGAAGAACTGATTTTATTTTCTGATGTCAAATTTATCAATCTTTCAGGTTCTGATTTTCAAGCATAATTGAAAAGGCTTTCTTTATAACTTGAGGCTAAAAGAAGTACTCCCATTTTTCTTCTAATAACTTTATAATTTTAATATCTTGACATTTTAACATTTGATCAGCTTGTAATTTACCTTCATAATAGTGGGGTATATGATTCTGATGTTATTTTTTCCAAATTCATCTCCTATGAAATAGCCTATCTTTTATTCATTGATTTGAGGTACTGCCTTTATTATATGATACCTTCCCAGATTTTAGGGTCAATTTCTTGACTTTCTGTCCCATTGGTCAATCTCAAATCTCATGGTACATATTCTAGCACTGTACTGTCTCATTATCAGGGCTTCATATGTTTTCATATCTGTTTTGGTTAATCTTTCTTCCTAGCATGTCTTTCAAAGTATTTCTGACTGTTACTGTTTACTTTTCTTTTTTTTTTAATTATTTATTTATTTATTTGACAGACAGAGATCACAAGTAGAGAGGCAGGCAGAGAGAGAGAGGGAAGCAGGCTCCCTGCTGAGCAGAGAGCCCGATGCGGGACTCGATCCCAGGACCCTGAGATCATGACCTGAGCCGAAGGCAGCGGCTTAACCCACTGAGCCACCCAGGTGCCCCTGTTACTGTTTACTTTTTCACATCAGCTTTAGAACCAACAGTAGCTAGAGAGGCATGCAGGACACAAAGCAGTCTATTTAAAGATAGGGTAAAAAGATGAAGCACTTAGGAATAAACTTAAGAAATGTACAAGACCACTATGAAGAAAATTTTAGAATACTACTGCAGGACACAAATGAAGACTTGAGAACATGGATCCACACTGCTCTTGGATAGAAACACTCAGTCTTATAATGATGTTATAGATGTCCGTGCTTCCTGAAGTAGTTTACAAATTTAATGCAATCCTAATAAATAGGCCAACAGAATTTCTTCTTGTTTATGTATTGATTTTAGTGCTACTTTATGCTAAGTCCATGCAGAAAAACAGTAAGAAAAAAAAGTGATCAGAATTGGTTGGATGGTTTGAATGAAAAAGGTAGTGTTTCATGATGGCTTCCTTAAACTATTAAATAGTCCTTGGTTCAAGAAAAATTAAAACTTGGGGCACCTGGGTGGCTCAGTGGGTTAAGACTCTGCCTTCAGCTCGGGTCATGATCTCGGAGTCCTGGGATCGAGCCCCACATTGGACTCTCTGCTCAGCAGGGAGCCTGCTTCTCCCTCTCTCTCTGCCTGCCTCTCTGCCTACTTGTGATCTCTCTTTCTGTCCAATAAATATATAAAATTAAAAAAAAAAAGAAAAATTAAAACTCTTCTATCAAGGAAGCATATACCAACTGTGCTATATCACTTAGGGCAACTAAACTGACATGTTTTTCAGTTTTATTTTCACATACTTTTGATGATGGGAATAGAATTTTCTTAATGACTAAGTCACTGCTAGGTACATTATGTTTTATTACAGTATTTGGCCACTTTCTTATTCTAATCAGTCCTCTGGAGAACAAAAACTTATCAAAGATGAAAATAACTTGTTTTGATATGTAGTACAACCTTGACAAATATCATGCTACTTATAAAAACATCCAGTCACATTACAGATCTAGTCCTCCAACTTGCCAGTTTCTTATTGCAGTTTGTTTCTAGAAAGAATGGAAAAATACCCCCTTATGGAAATCTAAGAACTTCAACTTTAATGTAAAGTTAAACATCTCAAACTTTTGTTATAAAACCTGCTTTAAGTAATGAGCATTGGATGGGTTATCGTTTTAGGGGAAAGTTATAGTCAAAGATCAGTAAGACTCTCTTCTTTATGCTGGTTCCCAGATTAATGAATAGTTACCATTAATAAGAAAATGAGTAAAAAATTCACACTCCAAAAAACAGTACTCAAAAGGACTGTTTAACAAGATTCATTTAATGATTACTCCAGATAACCTTTTTGATCATCTTAATCGATATTAAGGTTGATAATTAGTTACCTGTTTCCTATTCTGACTTTCTTAGCACCTACTTTTAAGAGCAGACTTGTTTCATGTTTCCCTCTCTCTCCGCATGTGAAATGGAATGGACAAAAAGAGGTATGTGCAGTCAGTTTCTGTGGACTCATCCCCACACTGCTTTTCTGCTCCCTAGCTAGAGGGTGTGCCGCTCTCTAAGATACTTCAGTGTTTAACAGAGACCCAGTTTGTTGTTGCTGCTGTTTTTTTCTTAGTTAGGATTATGAAAGGAGAATCACTCTTTGCTTTAGTAGGAATAGCAAGCATGGGGCAAAATGTTAAGACAGTAAAAAAGAATTTCATACCTCTTTTCATTCCTTTTATTGTATGTGAATAATTGTATGCTTATGGAAGCCTTGCATTATCGTATTCTTCTTGTGACACATTAATTTCATACACTTGCTGGTGAAAGGATCATAGACACCTCATAATGTACCAAGATGCTGCCCCTCCCAAGCCGTCCAGCCTGTAGAGGTGACACTATCTAAGGTTCCTGGATACTGCTGCTCTTTGAGAAAATCACCAATATGAGGAAACCACCGAACTCTATAGTGCTAGCAGAGACTTGGAGAAATGAAGAGACAATCTGAGCTGCAGGATGAAAAGAGCTAGTGCTGCTAACATTTCAGGAATTCCTGGATTAATGTTTAATTTTCATAGTAATCCTCACATAGTCCTTTCTTTGAAGGGAGTGTGTGCAGGGAAGCAAAATGATTCTAAAATTCATCCAGCATAATAAAAATGGGAGAATATAGAAGGTAATATTTTCAAAATAAGATGAGGTAGAGGACTGTTTCTATCAAGGAATAAAGTATAAATTTACCTCCTACTCTCCCATGAACCAGCATTCTCCTCTCCTGGATTTGTCCCATCACTTTCCAAGATGTAGAATTCTTAATTCTTAATTCCTCATTTGCCTCCAGTTGTGGTTACACATCTCACTACCCCTTTTTAATAGCTAAACCTCTAAGGAAGTTTTATTTACACTCCATACCCTTTTCACCTTCAGCACACTCCAGCCTTGTCTCTTTTGCCATCACTATACTGAAACTATACTCCGAAAGTTAGTTTGCCAAACCATCTAGCAATCCAACGTGTTGTTTGCTGCTGCATTCCCCAGACCTCTCAAACATTCTCCCTAGCCACTTTCATCTTCTGGCAACTGTCACATCCCCTGGGTACCTTGCTCCTCTGGTGTCTCTCATTTCTCTGCCTTTCTCCTCAATGGCACTTGTTGACTTCTCTTCTCTTACCTCTGTTCCAGATGTTACCATTGGCATGCAGGCCCCATACCACCTCACTCGCCCACCTTTCTTTTCTGGCACCTCCTCCTGTCTTCTGCCCAGTTTAGTCACACTGGCTATCAGTGGCCCTCTTGTTTCCTCTCACATCCCACGTTTCTCCCACGTGTCCGAGCCCTCACACATACTACTCGCTCTGCTTGAAATGCTCTCTCCTCAGTGCGTCTCACAAGGGGCTTCTCTTATCTGGCTGCTCTCACTTTGAAATGACTTTCCCTGAATCCACTTTTCTTTGAAGTCATGCAGTCTGTTTTATTCTTTAGCAATCACAACAATTTTTTTATATGTTCCATAGAAATTCTCACAATTTGAAATGATCTGTTGTTTGTTAACTGTCTGTTTTGAAAATCCCCTGAACGACAAGGACCAAATTTGTGTTTGGATTTTAGAATCACGTTATATGTGGTCCCCTGTAGTATACTGCTTGACCCAGAGTAGGATCTTGGTGCTCAATAGTTGGATGAATGAACACAAATCAAAGCAGTATAATACCAGTAAAATAATAGACACCCCCACCCAGGACCTCTTAGAACCTGTGACAAGGAAGGATGTGCTCTATATAATAAATAACACAAATTAATAGATGCAAGGAAACTGTAACTTGGGTTATTTGTGTGACATTTGGGCATGAGATCATTTCAAAGCAAAGCGAAAGCACCTAAGCATTAAATATAAAATGCCAAACAATAGAAGAACTGAAGGAAAACAAAACACTATCAAGTCTCACAGGGATAAGATGCTTTTCTAAACCGAGAAGTGCTATAGAAATAAAAAGGAAAACATGAACAGATACTGAATTTAAAATCATTAATGTGTTAACATAAAAAGTCCATGTAGGTTCTGCTTGGGGGGTGGATTCCTACAGCTGGTTTGGAAAATAAATCATTTCCCAGCAAATTATATTAATACCAGCAGTTTCACTCCTAGGTAGATACTTGGAGAGAAAATCTTGACTTATAAGTACAAGGCATTAAACAGGGATGTTTACGAGGGGGAAAAAAGAATCATGTTTTCAACAACACAAAAATAGGTTAACAAATGGTGATAAGTTGACATGCTGGAACTCTATGAATATTCTATGGAATATCAATGAACTAGAGCTGTAATTCACATAGGTGGTTCTTAGAAATATTAAGATGGATAAAAAAGGAAGCTGCAAAAGTACAGCATGTTACATTTTACTCTAATTATAAAAACATGCAAAACAAAATTACTTGTTTTGAGATTAATTCATTTATAATACAAGTACTAAGAGATGCGCCAAAGTGATAAGCATCAAGTTGAGAGTAATGGTTACCTCACTGGGGTGGAGAGGAAGCAGTATGATGGAGGAATGAACACAGAGACCTTCAAAAGTCCTCGTTTTTTTTCATAAGGCAGGTGGTAGGCACACAAGTTTTGATTATGTTACTCTTTAAACAATTGTCTCGGCTGAAATAGTTCATTTTTTTTTTGCTAAAAAGGACAGTAATGTAGGTAAAATGTGTGCTGCAAAGATAATATATATGAAAATATACAAATTACTAAGCATTAAAACCATCGATACCTGTAGCCAGATAATTAAGCAAAAAAAAATCACGAAAGGGCTAAAGAAAAATATAATGTGCTCAAACTTAATAAGAAAAGAAACATGAGACTTAATTTTCAACTATTTATAAAAATTTTGAATTGTCCCTGCTGGTCGTGGCATATTCAACCTTTGCACCCAGTAAATTAAGTTCTGAGATTCTGTTCTCAAGTCATCACTAACTTCTCATAATTTTCTCTTTGAGTTATGGAATTATAGGTCTTTTCCCTCCATTTTTCATAATTTTGTTTAAATATTATCACTTTAAATATTAAAAAATAAGTGATTAAGTGATGCATTAGTACCTATTGGTAATATAGATGAGCAATATACTCAGCTGCTATTCCTTTATAACCAGTTAAATAGGAAGTGACATTTTAATGTCTTATAATAGATTACTTTGTTCTTTAGCAAGCAACTTGATTTGAAAATAATGTTCATATATGTATATAAATTTAAAGTTTTCTATTTTTTCTTTAGGAAAAGAAAGAAAGGCAGGAAAGAATCGAACGAAAACAAAAGAAGCGTCATCCCTTTCTGGAAAATGAGGCACTTCCTCCCTGGAGCCCTCCAAGCAGAACTGTATTCTCAAAAGTGTTCTGATACTTCTCATTTTTACATTATTTAGTTATCAATTCACCATTTTAGCCACTATTTATTCAATTAGTTATAGTTAGTAGAGTCTATTTTTATTAAATGCCAGCCATTTCCACTAACAATGGAAAAGATGCTATGGAGTTTAATCAGTGAAATAATTGAAAGCTTTTTTTTTGGACTGTAGGTAAACTGCCTCAGATGCGAAGCTAATAATCAGATTGCTCTTAACATTCGAATGACCATCACATCCCGACAGTCCTTACAATCAGATGATCCATGGTCACTTTCCCAAAGCTGTGCATGGTATTTAAGTGGTTTTATTCCCCAGAATAGGAAACCATCTAGGTACTATAATCATAGAAATTATGAATGAAATCTGTGAATGATTGTGCACATAGATTCAGGTTTTAAAAGGAATCATCTCTGGGGGTATGCATATATGTAAATACACATACATATATATATATATATATATATTTTTTTTTTTTTTTTTTTAAACTGATCTTTAGCTCAAGCAGTTGCACTTGCACTGTGCAAGTTAGAGTTTCAGTCAGTTAAGGCAGTAGTTCAGTAGAACTCAAATCTTTGAGGCATTTTATTTCAAAAGTTTGCCTTATGTTTTAATATGAGTTTTATCTGTCCCACACTTAAGGTGACAATCGTAGGCACTTTTATAATGAGTAGACCTCTAAAATGTGTCTTCTAAGTTCTATCTCACTTTATTATTTCAGTGGTACCAAAAATATATCCATTTCTTGGTAGTGATATACTTAACGCAATAGTTATGGAAATTCCATGAGAGTTCAAGGTCATTATCACTGTTAATAATTTTTTCCAGACTAAAGCCATAAAGGTGATAAAGGTAATTTTCAATCTCTTAGCTTATTCCAGAGCCTTATAGTTTATATTTAGAAGACAGCTATATAGGAAGGCAATTTGTAGAAAATGCCCAAAGAATCTTTATTTATTTATTTGATCTCTGCATATCTTTAAATTAATTGGACTCATACTTGAACTGGTCAGCTGGTTTATCACAAACCAAATGTATGCTCTCAGAGCTGCAGTACTACTTTAGCCAATGATGCAGCGCAATGATAGATGAGAATAAATAATTATTATTTATTAAGCACCTAATGTATGCTTGCTGCTGGATCTTTACAGATGTCAATTCTTATCTTTAGAACAGTTATTCAGTGTAGGTGTTATTTTGCAGATTAAAAAATACTGAGACTCGGAGAAATAACTTGCCATACATTTAGCATGTGATTGAATCGGGATGAGAATTAAGTCTTTCTCCCTCCAGAATATATATTATATCAACTTTACAAACACATATCACCTCTGGGATCCTAAAATCATGTATTGTTATCTGGAGATTATCTTTCTTTTAAGAAATATCTGTTTGTTATTTAGAGATGTTGAACTTTATTAGATCTATAAAGTGGAAGAAGTTTCCATAATAGTTGAAGATTTAGTCAAATGCCTTGTACCTAGCGTTAGAATGTCAGGAAAGCCAGCAGGTTGTGGAACAGAGGCTTTGAGATAGTCACTCAGGAAGTTTCAGAGGATTAACCTCACTGCGGTACATGTGCAAAATAAGGGAGATACCGTGGGTCACTTTCTATGATCACATCAGTGCTACGAATAAATTGGTTTTAAAATTATAAACAAAACTAGAAGCACACTGCCAGGAACTAGGAGCATACTTCATGAAATTGAAACTGTTATCATCAGTATGTACTATCAACATGGGATTTAGCTCATCTCTTTTTCACCAAATATATATATAATGCCTACCAGAATGAATCGTTGTTTTTGATATCCAATTAACTATTCACAGCTAAAAAGGAATTTGCAAATTCCAGGGAAGTAAAAGGAAAAAAAGATCAGGGATCTGAGATCATAAATAAGTCATAAATTTCATATTAAATATTTGCTTACACTTCCCAATTATTTTCTTCTTCATTATCATATTTAGTAGCTTGCCATTATCCCTTCTTAGTTGTGAGCACTGAATGAAATTAGTAATTAAAGTAAACCACATGGCATTGTTTTCATTTAGGGACTATCAAGAGCCCTGCATTTCCCCACTTCATGTATGTGAGAAGGTTAATGTAGGCGGCATTGATAATGGTTATTTGACATACATTTTTAGCAAACAAGAAGGGAGTTCCTAAAAAGAAACATAAATACTAATTTCTTAGCACTGCTTGTGAAATAGGATGAAAAGAGAAATTGAGGTGTTTGCAAAGACCCAACAAGTTGTTTCCCTCAAATGGGGAAGTTTGTCTTACTATGATAAATAATATATTATTTCCCGTTTACAGCAACCTGTGCTGGCCGGTTATCTAGTTGAATGAAACCCTCTTTTTTCCTGCAGCAGAAATAAAGTTGAGTTTTGAGAGCTGGGTGAAAATAAAGTCCTACTTATTTTCTGAGATCGAAAGGGGCAAATCCAGCCTAGTAGTATTCTCGTGAATATATTTATCTGTTTAAGGGGTATGAGTTCCCCATATATCCTTAAAAGTATCAAATGTAAATATACATATTTACTCATTAAGTTTTCATTAATTTATAATAAGAGGGAATTCAAATTAAGGACACTAAAAACCTATAGATTTTCAGGTGAAGCTTCTAGTTTTGTAAATTGTATTGATCACTTGACACTTCAAAGTAAAGAAAATAAGAATTTAATGAATATTCTAAAACATTACTGAAAAGAATTTCCCTAGAAATTTACTTATCAGTACAAAAAATAAAATTTTTTACACAATGTATTTTCCATAAAAAATAGTGTTTGTAAGAAAATAGTGTTACTTAAATAAAGAGAAACTATATGGCATTTTAGATCAGAAGGAAGAGGCAGTTTTCTTGAAGAAAATAAGAAATGTTCAGGGATAAAAATTTTTCAGTGGTTTGTATTATATCACATTTTGAAAATGTTAGTGGCTCGTTTATTGTTTTAATAGTATTGAAACTGATATTTTTCACTGTTGCCAAAGCAGTAGCTGATAACAGTTAAGTGTCCACAGCTGTATTACCTTAGAGTGATAAAACTGCATCTGGGAGGTTTTAATACTTTAATAAAACAGGCCCAAACCCTATTTCCAAGTTGAACAAAACTACTCTGACTTGCCCACGCCCATACCACTAACCAGAAGAATCCAGAGTTAGAGATGAGGTGTCCAGTTTTCTAGTTGTAATTTGCCCCCATCCCATAATTTTGAGAACCCAATAAAACTTTTAACGCTGAATTTTGTAACCATGGTCATTATCAGCTTGGTTCATTGTGATCCTCTCAGATGGTCCCTTATCCTTCCAGTGCCTTCTCCATAACTCCACCAGATCAAGGCTCTTTGGACACCTGCATGACTACTTCATGGGTGGGGGAGACATAAGTTTCTCAAGCCCTGAGTCATAGGCGAAGATACAATGGGAAAAAGGAATTTCACAAAATGGGAGAAATTGCATGTTAGTCAAAGTAGTTCCCGAGAATAAACCCGTACAGAAAACAAACTTTCCTGATGTCATCTTGGCTCTAATTTCAGAAGTGCTATATTAATAGGTATTTAGACCCATATGCTCCCATGCTACACAAAGCAAAGATATATCAGTTGCCCTGCTTCCTAGGTACACTGGCTGACAGAATAATGAATGCTATATAAATGCTTAACTGGAGACTTCCCTGAATTCTTTCTGTTTTAAACTTTCAGGTGATTTGATTATTTTGAAACATGTTACATGTAATTGTAGAATGTTAACTAAATTATTGGTATTAAATTTAGGATGCTGTGTTAAGAATTACCTGAGGAGATGTACTTACTGTCTGCTTTCTAGTAGCATACTTCATGTTGTGCTGAATTAAACTTAACCATTCAAGATTTATTTTATTGGGTTATGATGTTATTTGTTGATCGTGCCAGATTTCATTTCATAACTTTGGAAAATGTGGTATGAGTTTCATTTGTGGGCTAATGAAATGATCATTGCCATTTGCAGCAACATGGATGGATCTAGAGAGTATAAATTGCTAAGCGAAATAAGCCAGAGAAAGACAAATACCATATGACATCGCTCATATGTAGAGTTTAAGAAACAAAACAAAGAACTGCCCCCCCCCAAAAAACCCAGACTCTTAATTATAGAGAACAAATAGAGGGTTACCAGAGGGAAGGTGGGTGAGGAGACAGGTGAAATAGGTGAGGGGGATGAAGAGTACACTTACCATAATGAGCACTGAGTAATGTATAAAATGCTGAATCACGGTATTATACACCTCAGATTAACATAACACTGCTAACTAAAGAATTTTTTTAAAAACATGAAATGATCATATTATGATATAATTATATTACATCTTCTACTAGAAATGCCTGAAAATTTTTCAAAACTGACTGAAAATTTGGATATAAACTTTTCTTTTACTTGAAGTAGTACATAAGTTACAAAGGTAATGTAATTATAACATTACCAAATAATTAGAAAGTGCAAATAGCAAAAATAACCCACATTTCCATCTCCCCAAAATAATCATAGTTAACATATTTTGTACTCTTCCAGCTTTTAATTTCCAGTGCCTTTTTTCCTATAGTTGGAATTAAATGGAGAGTGAAGAAAATAGAGATAAAATTCCCTCTCTCTTTTTTTCTCTGTGCCTCTCTCCCATGCCACCTGTGTGTGTATACCTATGTGTTGTATTTCTGTATCATATATCTTTGCATATATTTATTTATTAAATATAGATTAATATCTATAAATATATAAATATATCAAATACATATATAAAATTTATTTATATAAATATGTATTTATATATTATAAATATATATATATGTAAGTATATATATATATTTGAGTACAAAACTCAGGAAACCAAATATGCAGTTTTGATCTTATTTCAATTTTAAAGAATAAAAATGTTTGAATATATGCATGTATACATATGTGTTATATTTCTATAAATTTCTGGTTACCAGCGTTTTCCACTCAACAATAGATAATGAACATATGCTATTATGCTTTTTCTAATAATCTTTGATGCTGCAACTACAATCTAACCTATTTTGGGCAATTTGTTTCCTTATAAATGTTTACTATAATAAGTAATAAGACAGCCAACATTCTTGTAGTCACTACCCTTGTTATCAAGAGGGTGGACCTCATTAAATCTATAAAATGAAAAAAGAATCCATAGTATTTAAGGAGTTAGTCATATTCTTTGTATCTGCTATTAAAATGTGAGGCGGGACCCCTAGGTTGCTCAGTCAGTTAAGTGCTGGGACTCTTGATTTCCACGCTGGTCCTGATGTCAG